TATTTTTTTTAATTTAATTTTTTTTTTATTTGCAACGTTTACTCAAGAAACTATTTTTTTTCTTTTTCCTCACTTGATTTTACCTTTTTAATGTATACATAATCAACATTATTACTACTTCTATTTTACCCTTTTTATCTTTTCTTTTGTTTATTTTTATTTATTTATTTATTTTTATTTCGGGATTACTGTTCTACAGTCCAAATTTATCTTTCCTTCTCCAACGCTTTATTCTATCTCAACCCTACCTTTATGCCATCACTCTCTTCCTAACAGATGGAAGAACATGCCAGGTTCATGGATTGGTAGAATCAACTCATCAAAATGTTCATACTTCCCAAAGCAATCTATAGGTTCAATGCACTCCCCATTAAAATACCAATGGCATATTTCACTGACCTAGAAAGAACTCTCCAAAAGTTCATTTGGAACAATAAAAGACCACGAATAGCCACAGCAATCCTGAGAAAGAAGAGCAAAGCAGGAGGGATCTCAATATCAGATTTCAAGCTGTATTACAAAGCCACTGTTCTCAAAATAGCCTGGTACTGGCACAAGAACAGACATATAGATCAATGGAATCGAATTGAGAACCCAGATATCAACCCAAATCACTATGCTCAATTAATATTTGACAAAGGCACAGGAGATTACAGTTGGCTTGGACTGTAATATACAATGGAGTCAAGACAGTCTCTTCAATAAATGGTGTTGAGAAAATTGGACAGATACATGCAAAAGAATGAAACTGGATCACCAACTTACACCATACACCAAAATAAACTCAAAATGGATACAGGACTTAAACATAAGACAGAAAACCATAAAAAAACTAGAGGCATCCACAGGAAGCAAAATCTCAGACATATGCCAAAAGAACTTCACTGATACTGCCCCTAGGGCAATGGAAGCTAAAAAGAAAATAAACAAATGGGACTACATCAAAATGAAAAGCTTTTTTACAGCAAAAGAAACCATCAATAAAACAACAAGAAAGCCCACTGTATGGGAGAACATATTTGCAAATGTTATCACTGATAAAGGTTTGATCTCCAACATCTACAGATAGCTTATACAACTCAATAAAAGGAGAATGAATGATCCAATTAAAAAATGGGCAATGGACCTACATAGAATATTCAAAAGAAGACAGAAGGAAGGCCAAGAGGCACATGAAAACATGCTCAAAGTCACTAATTATCTGAGAGATGCAAATCAAAACAACAATGCTGTACCATCTCACACCTGTCAGAATGGCCAACATCAACAAATCAACAAACGACAAGTGTTGGCAAGGTTGTGGAGAAAAAGGAACCCTCGTGCACAGCTGGTGGGAATGCAGACTGGTGCAACCACTGTGGAGAACAGTGTGGAATTTCCTCAAAAAAACTGAAAATGGAACTCCCATTTGACTCAGTAATCCCACTCCTAGGATTATATCCCAAGAAACTAGAAACACCAATCAGAAAGGATATATGCACCCCTATGTTCATAGCAGCACAATCTACAATAGCTAGGATTTAGAAACAGCCCAGGTGCCTGTCAGCAGATGACTGGATCCAAAAACAATGGTACATCTACACAATGGAATACTATGTTGCCATAAAAAAGAAGGATTCTCATCATTGCAGCAACCTGGATGGAATTGGAGAACATCATGCTGAGTGAAATAAGCCAGTCAATGAAAGAGAAACACCACATGATCTCACTCATTTATGGATAATAAAGAACATTATAAACTGATGAACCAAAAGATAGATATAGAGACAGTAAAGCAACAAGCAGACTGTCAAATTACAGCGGGGAGGGGAGGGAGATCTGGGGGAGACAAGAGATCAACTGAAGGACTTGTATACATGCATATAAGTACAACCAATGGACACAAAACTCTGGGGATGGTGGGTATGTATGGGAGGGGGGGGGACAATAGTAAAATATGTACACAGATAATAATTTAATAAAACAAACAAACAAACAAACAAAAAACCACAAAAAACCCACAAAACTATTTTGTCTTATGTATTGCTATCCCAGCATTTTTCCCCATTTCCATTTGCATGAAATATCTTTTTTCATCCACTTACTTTCAGTCTGTGTATGCCTTTTGATCTGAGGGGGGATCTTTTCTTTTTTTTTAAATATATTTTTTATTGATTTTTTACAGGGAGGAAGAGAGAGAGATAGTTAGAAACATCGATGAGAGAGAACCATTGATCAGCTGCCTCTTGCACACCCCCTAATTGGGATGTGCCTGCAGCCAAGGTAGATGCCCTTGACCAGAATCAAACCTGAGACCTTTCAGTCTGCAGGCCAATGCTCTATCTACTGAACCAAACCGGTTTTGGCTGAGGGGTTCTTTTCTAGGTATCATATGTATGGATCTTATTTTCTTATCCATTTAGTCACCCTATGTGTTTTAATTGGAGAATTTAATCAATTTACATTTAAAGTAATTATTGATAGATAGGTATGTAGTTATTGCCATTTTGGTATAATATTTTGGTTTCTTCTTCTTCCTCTTCTTTTCCTTCTCCTTCTCAAGTCCCTCTTATTATTATTATTATTATTATTATTATTATTATTTTTTTTTTGTAATACTGGTTGCTTATGATGAACTCCTTTATCTATTTTCTTCTTCTTTTTTACAAATATTTTTATTTATTTCAGAGAGAAAGAGAGAAGGAGAGAGAGATAGAAACATCAATAATGAGAGAAAAATCATTGATCTCATGCACACCCATTGGGGATCAAGCCTGCAACCTGAGCATGTGCCCTTGACCGGAATCGAGCCCAGGACCCCTCAGTTCACAGGCTGATGCTTTATTCACTGAGCCAAACTGGCTAGGGCAGTGGTCAGCAAACCTGTTTGCCGCTCTGTTGACTAATGAATTTGCTGACCACTGCGTAAGGCATAACCCTTACCCAGAAGTTTTGACTTAGATTAAAAACATTAGTACATTATTAAAATGTCTTTTAAGTGTTTTTCCCTAGCAGTGGTCAGCAAACTCATTAGTCAATAGAGTGGCAAACCATGGCTCAAGAGCCGCAGTTTGCCGACCACTAGTAGGGCATCCTTTAACTGTTTTCCTATCCATAGGCCAATGTTCAATCCACTAAGCCAAACCAGCTAGGGCAAGATCATTAATTCTTTTATTTATTTATTTTTTATTGATTTCAGAGAGGAAGGGAGAGGGAGAGAGAGATAGAAACATCAACGAGAGAAAATCACTGATCAGCTGCCTCCTGCATGCCCCCTGCTGGAGATCGATCCCACAACCTAGGCATGTTGACGCTCTATCCACTGAGCCAAACCTGCTAGGGCAATCAATAATTCTTTTAACTAACTTTTATTGAGAAGCTATTCTGTGCAAAGCATGTAATAGCTTCATCTCTATGAAAATCCACATGGCTAAAGTTCTGCATAGACTTTTCAATAAATGTGTTGCATCAATTTAAAATCTGTACGTATTTAATTTTACAAAACAACTAGGTGCTTCTAAGCCTTTCTAGAAGTCTTCTTAGAATGCAACATTACCAATGAATTTTTTTGATTCCCTCTTACATTTGCCCGACTCTAGAATAAACCTGAATTTATTGATCCATCTTATAAAATGAAGCTTGAAAAGAATTTTCTCCAGCTTCCTCTTCTCATCAAAGTGCCCCCAAATTACCTCTACCTGCAGATAATCTGTGGCTCACGAAAGGTGAAGTAAAGCAGAATCTCAATCCCCATCTCAGACTTGCTGAATCCGCCTGCAGTTTAATGTGATTGTCATACACAGAAGAGTGCAAGAAGCACTGATTTAAACTTTGATACTTGGTTCACACTTGTCCCTGGTCCTCCTTTCTGAACTACAGAGATAAGGAAACCAGATTAGCAGCAGTAACAGCTGTTTCAGAAACAGGATCTGTACCCAAGGATCCACTTATATACTTTGCCCCATACCCACGCCCTGCGGGTACAGGAAGTTGGGCATTAAAGATAGGCTGCCTGTAGGAGACATAAGAACATGAGGGACCTCCAAAAGGGTGAAAATGGGTGGGACAGGAAAGGGAGGAAGTAAGTTCCTGGGTTTCAAAAACCACAGTTTGTCTAGGTGCTACTTTCCCGCTTTTAGCACACAAGTTTGCCACGAGGCATCCGTTGGTTGCCCCTTTTTCCTTTTGCATGTTGCCCCGTATGAAAAAGTCACTATCTAGAACTTTTCTCCACGACTTAGAAACTTTAAGTTGTCTGGGATTGAACGTGCCTGTTTTTGAACAGTTTCTGGCAGATCCTTGCCTTTATGGTGTAGTCATGGTGAACTCTGAGTCATCTGAAGATGGTGGCAGTGCCAAATTGCTGGGGAAGGAGCTGCTGACGAGCCAGGACAGTGAGGAACTGGAGATCAGTAACCTTGGGTACCGGGAGCTATTTAGTCTTCTTTCCAACAGAAGAGCTACCCGCGTCCTAGTTCATGCAGATTGCTGCAAGCTTTACCGTTCTAATGGCAAGGGTGTCTAGACACAGCCCAAGGTGTAAAGCATCTCCCCGCTTGTTTCCCTGAGTCCCACGTAGCAACACCTCAATCCTGCATGTGCCAGGATTCTTCTTTTATAAGCTGACAAACCACATTTTTCTGGCGACGCAAATATATGTACATATCGATTTTTGTTTTAAGGTAATAAAGTTTTCCCTGGTGCACATGCATGTACATGAAACAACTACCCAGTAAATACACCCCTGTTTGGGGTGTGTGTGTGTGTGTGTGTGTGTGTGTGTGCGCGCCATTTCTCTAAAATTCTGACTCACAGTCTGAGGACCGTGATTAATTTCTTTCCACTTCACATAGCTGCTATGAGTTTTCCTCCCAAGGATGGGCCTGTTTACTCCCTCCCGGCGGCGGCGTTGGTAGGTCGCTTAGTGCACCCAGCCAGGGGAGCCCGGGGAGGGCTGGGCAGTGGGCGCCCCTGCGCTGCGCTCCCTCGGCGGGGAGCAGGGATGCTGGGCCCAGGTTTGGAGACCGCTTTCTGACCCGGCTGGCTCGGTGGTGGCGATGTTTGCCGGAGCAGCGAGAAGCGCCATGGTGGTGCGGGTGGGAGGGGTGGAGCCACCCAGTCCGGTCTCAATTTAGATCTCTCACTCCGCTTCTAGGCGCGCCCATTTCAGACGGTTCTGCTCGAGTCAGGGAGGGGAAAAAAAAAAAAAAAAAATCAGGGAGGAGGTGGAAGCCACACCCCGCAGTGCCCGCGGATTTCCCCAGGAGCCCACGGCTGTCCAGGCAGACTCTGCGGAGATGCGGGGCCCACAGCTCCTGACCGCCGCCCGCCTGCTCTGCGCGTGGACCGTGTGGACCGCCGCGCTGGCCGCGGCCCCCGGGTAGGAGCGCGGGGCGCGGGGCGCGGGGCGCGGGGCGGGGCTGTCCTGGGCCCGGGCTGGGCTGCGGGAGGAGCAGCAAGAGTGTGCAGCAGCGGCAGCCCTCAGCTAGGCACTGGCCTGGTGGTTTTCCCATCTTTCCTCTGGAAAGCTTGGTTTTCCATGAAATAGTTATTTTCTTCATCAGAAGTTGTTTAATAAGCGTTTCTCTGGCCATCACTACTTTCTAAAGAGAGTCATTTTTTTCGTCCAAGTTGCCTCTACACTTTTCTCAGCTGTTTGCTCCCAAATAATGCGCCTGCCTTCTTCACCCAAAGACAAATGGTGCTTGTTCTTTCTCCACCGTTGGCTTGGGCAAAGTGTGTCTTGGGTGGTTGATGTGTGGGTGAAGGTGCAGGCACTGTAGAAAGGTAGCCACGGAGGCACCCAAATACTGGAGCGTGCCCCACGCCTCAAGGTTTTTGTAGTTGAGCCCTAACCCCTAGCTTCGGCAGAGACAGTGCTGTTAGCAACTTTTAAGCTCTGCTACACCTGGAAGTTTTACCACTGATAGTTCAATGTCTGATGGTATATTGCAATCAGCAGTATTGGATCTAGATCTAGATCTTTTCTTGGGCAAAAGCCCAAACATAAAGTTTAGAATAAGAAACAGGCAAAAATCTGTGTGTATGTACTTGCCTGTGTGTGTGTGTGTGTGTGTGTGTGTGTGTGTGTGTGTGTGAGTTTGAACCAAGAAAAAAAAGTCACTGGGATGAGGTCATCTGTGAAATAGAAGTTCAGAGGCTTGCACATTGCTAATAACTTCTGCACGCCCCAGTGTAATCCATCTGCATGGAGGCTCAGCCTGTGCTGTTTGTAGTTTGGAAGTAATAACACCGGTTCTACTCTACTCTAGTGGTACGTGAATTACTGCATTAAAATTAATTTATGGGAATGATTGTCTCAATGGCATTTCAATGCAGCTGCTAGATGGAGTAGCAGGGCAATATTAATTGAAACAATGGCATTTGGCACAATATAGGGGGTCTTGTCTCACTGTCTGTAAAATTTGAGGATTACAAAAGAATGGTGATGGTAGGATAAAAAACTTTGGATTTTTTCTTCTTGGGAATTCTTTAGGCCCACGTTTCTGTTGACAGTTCCTGGAAGCATCAGGCCTGGAGGAAATGTTACTGTTGGGGTGCATCTCACGGAGCACAGCCCCTCACCGGTCACTGTGAAGGCAGAGGTGGTCAAGATGGCAGCAAACAGCACCATCTCTCTTCTGGCAGCAGAAGGAGTCTTTGAAAAAGGTAAGATAAAAAGCATTGAGTTTTACCCTTCTTCTGTGGTAATTGGAATCTATATATATATAAAAGCCTAAGCAACCAGTAGACCGAATGACCGATCAACCAGTCGCTATGAGGTGCCCTGATCACCAGGGGGCAGATTCTCAATGCAGGAGCTTCCCCCTGGTGGTCAGTGTGCTCCCACAGCCAACCTTCCATGGTCCCTTCTCCCCCCTGCCCCCCCACTCCCCTGGCCAGCTGGCCCTAATTGGCCCCGATCACTGGCCAGGCTGAGGGACCCCACCTGTTAATAAAGCCATGTGAAACCTCAAATTTGGAATGGCTCACGTAATATATTTTTAACTGTTATTTCCATAAATTCCAAAATGGTGTTTTTTGGGTGTTCTTCCAAGCGGCAATTCAGAGATCCAGGTTCCTTCCATCTTGTGGCTCCATCATCATTAAACAAGTAGCTTCCAAGTTTGCAGGGAAAGAGCATGGGCTTTCTCATGTGGAGAGGTTTTTATGGGCTAGATCCAGAAGTGGCTCATATAACTTCTGCTCCTCTTCCAATGGCCACATTTACAAAGGAGTTGGGGAATGTAGGCGAACGTGTGCCCTAAAGAAGAAATGGATGTAACTAATGGTCTGACATTAAGCCATATTTATTGGGTGTAGAGTACTTTACTAAATAGGCCTATGGGAAGGAAAAGAAGAGCGACACAGAGCTAAAATCCAGTTTTATGAAATGTTTCTTAATTTTTAAAGTAAGAAAAATGATCATGTAAAAGTGGGAGCCATTTATAGAAGAACCTACATCTCTTGTTTCAAGTTTATGTTCTTACGTGGCCCAGGTTTAAATTGGGTCAATGAATATCTTCTTTTTCAATATTTTTCAAAGGAAAAATAATTTTTTTAGGGGGTAAATACTTAAATATTTTTTAATCAAAATAACATTTATTGTATATTTTTCTAATTGAAAGAGTAATATATGGTCAGTACTTTCAACCTAATAAACACTGGAAGTAAAGGAAATAAACCCAAATCACCCATAATCCTACCACTTAAATATAAACACTGTTAGCCAGAAGCATGTTTAGATTTAGTCAGTGGCCAGAAATTGAGGCACAAATTCCTATAAATGTTAAGAGTTATATTAAAAAAATTTTGTAGGGCACATAATGAAGGATGGATGGGATTCCACCGTAATTCATTGTGTAAATATCTATTCTCTACCAGCATAGAGGAATTAACAGCATCATGAAATGAGATAAAATCAGAGTTGACCTATGTTTGTGGTTCTTTCTCCACTGGAAGTTGATTGACTAGGTGTATATGTTTGGGATGGGAGTCCGGAAGATGTAATGTGTGCAAGGGCGAGGCCATTTTGTCTTTTTAGGAGAATGTCAGGAAAAAGGGAAGTTTTGTTTTCCTGGAAAAGGAAATGTTGGTTAGAGCTTAAGTTCTGAGTTTGAGTCTTAGCACTAGTTGTGTGATCTTGAGCAGATTACTTAACTGTTATGAGCTTCAATTTCCTCATCTGTAACATGGGAATAATGAAATTTAATTCCCAGGGCAGTTATCAAGTTAAAATCAGTATCTAGCACCTGCTAGGCACTCAGTAAACAACAGCTGTTTATATTATAAGTAATATATAATTTTAATAATACTGAAGAAGAAGTTGCAGGAAGCATCATTTCATTTTTACATGAAGACAGACCTCTATTTTCATTATTGAACCATTATTTCTAAAAATGAATGAATCCTTGTTTTACGATAATGGCTAAAGAAAAATATTGAAATACTAAGTCACAGTAGACAATATTTAAGGTAATTCCACATTTATTATTATTTATTTTATTTTATTATTATTATTATTATTTATTAAGAATTATTGTTTTGGCTCTACATGTGTGACAGTTTTTTTTCTGTATTGCAGATTTGGATGATTTTGACAAATATTTGGGGTTTGCTTGGACGTTTGCATACTTTTATTCTCCTGCATTATCTTTTTTGCAATTTCCATGATCAGTCCCCTTTCTGGGGATGCATGTTATTGTGGCTTGGTTTTTAACTTTATTCTTAGATTTTCCTTCTGGGAGGAGAGTCTGTCACTTGCCTCTGGGAAGGCTAAAGTGCTCAAGACTGGGTGGGAAAACACTATCCTGGTTGCAGAATGGGTTTTTGAAAAAGAAAGAAAATTTGCTCTTCCAGGGGTTGTTTTTTGACTGTTAATACACACTTTCATTGAAAACACAGTGCTAGGAGCTTAGTCCCTCTTTGACAGGAGAATGTTATTCTGTTATCAGAGGTCCGTGAGTCATTGTTCTCAGAACAGATGCTTCCTGGAATGTGAGGAGTTACAGATCAAGACATTTCTTCCTTCTTGTTTTCACATCCTTTGCTTTATCTGACTTTTCCAGTTGTAACTATATGTAGATAAAAGAGGACTTCTAAACTAATGGGGTCTGGACCTTCCTAGGATTCATTTTTATTCTTAATTACATAAACAAAAATAAATACATTTTAGGTCTGATTATTTCATCTCTTTCTTAGGCCTTCCAAGAAAAGGTTGATTTTAATAAAGATTCATCTTCTAGCAGAACTGGGTAAGGGTGGGAACTGTTTCTGAGTGGCTGTTTCTAGCGGTCCTACTCTTAGAAATTCCTGGAGCAGAGCAGGGTTTCACCATAACCAGAATGCATTTCTTGCTTAGTTTGTGCCACAAAAAGTAATAGCTACTGTAGAATAAGGGCAAAAAAGCATGGCTTATCCTCAAGGAAGAGTTCTTTTTTTTTTTTTTTTTTTTTTTTTTTTTTTTTTTTTTATAGACATGGGGAAACTTTTGTTTGCATTTTTATCCTTGGAACCAACAGCATGGATTACTTTGAGTTCATTGATTCATTTTTAATGCATTCTACATTTATTGGAGATCAACTATGGATGTGTTTTTTGAGCAACCAAACCCGTTAGAAAAACAGTTCTCTAAAGATGTATTAATGCCTTTAAGTGGTGATATTCATACATTCAGCTGTACTTGTCATTATCAGCACCACCACCATCATGCCACCTTCATTATCAATCTCATCATTATCATCTCTGTAGTGAAGAGAACTAGGCTCGTGATCTACTGTTCCATTGGATAAAAGAGTAGGACATCTCCTGGCCAGTGCCTTCTGGTCTGGAGGCACCATTTATTTGTGGTGCCAAGACTTCTTCCAACTTCTCATTGATGGATTGGGGTAAGGTGTATTCTCTGAGTGTGTCTGTATCCTTTAAATCTTTTACTAACTTTTATACTCTGGTTTCTCTTCAGATCGTATAAATCTTTCGCCTTTTAAATCTTTTACTAACTTCCTTTTTCTTTTTGCCCTAAAATCTTGGAGAGTTAACGGGGTGTTTACCTTCTATTTTTTAAGAATTAAAAATTCTTCTTCATCCTTTATTGTTTCTATCTGTTCCATATTGATTATGGGGTATGTTATTTTCTTCCTTCCTTCCTTCCTTCCTTCCTTCCTTCCTTCCTTCCTTCCTTCCTTCCTTCCTTCCTTCCTTCTTTCCTTCCTTCCTTCCTTCCTTCCTTTCTTTCTTTAAAAAAAAAAATATATTTTATTGACTTTCCACAGAGAGAAAGGGAGAGGGACAGAGAGCTAGAAACGTCGATGAGAGAGAAACATTGACCAGCTGCCTCCTGCTCACCCCCCACCAGGGATGTGCCTGGAACCAATGTACATGCCCCTGACCAGAATTGAACCTGGGACTCCCCAGTCCGCAGACTAACGCTCTATCCACTGAGCCAAACCGGTCTCTGCGGGTATGTTATTTTCCATCTTGATCCAGTAATGGTAGGAAATCAATAGTTCCTAAACTGAGATATTAGCTGAAAACTTAAAAAATAAAATCATTGAATTCAGTTTGGATGGCTTTCTGGTGGAAACAAAGCTCCTGATCATACATTTCATAACTCATAGATCAACATCAGCCCCATGGTTTTTATGAGAGTAGATTAATGAGTACAGTGTGTGGGCAGATCTCCCAGGACAGGTTCACACAGGCAGCTTTGCTAGTAGAACTCAGCCTAAACTTGTAGTTACATGAGGATTATTGTTCAGGAGTGTGGGCTCTTCATTCACATGTCTTTGCTATTGTGTGTGATATGTATAAATAGGAGTACATATGATGGGCTTGTGTTCTGGAGCCAGGTGACATGAATGCCCTTTCATTATGTGGCATTGGAGAGTCGTAATCTCAATAGGCTTCAGTTTTACTATCTGAAGAATGGGAGTTCCTGCCTTTTGCAATGACAGTTATTGTGAGGATGAAGTGAGCTAACACCTTTAAAGTCCTTAGCACATAGGAATTATTTAAGAAAATGGTAGCTGTTGTCATTAGAAGAGAATTGCACCCATTATTTCCGAGGCAATTATTAATTGCCTACTGCGACGATCTTGGACTGGGAACTCTACAAAAGGCACATCACTAGGAGAGAATGGGAAGGGGTTTAATGTGTTAATTTTTGGGTTCCCCATTGTGCCAGGGACTTTCTGCACAATATTTCATTTCAATAACCCTATGAAAAAGGCACTACACTGAGGCTAAGAGAGAACAATTAATTTTCCTGACTTAATACAGTGAATAATAAAGCGTGAATTAGAAGCTGGTTCTGTTGGTTCTGAATTGAAGGTTTTTCTACTGCCTGGAAAAGCATGAAATAGTTTCTGTTTGCTTTACTTTGCCATATCAATGCAGTGTTGTATCAGTCATCTTCCTCTGAAATCATTTTCATGTTTGCTGGTAGGAGTTTTAGCCCTAGATCTAATGAAATATAATTTGAATCCAAAGAATCGCAAGAGACAGTGCTAGCTCTGCTCTTAAATTTTCAAACTGGATGGGACCTCAGAGATTAGGCAATGCAATAACCTAATTTATGGCTGAGGAGGCTGAGGTGTGGTGTCGGGTGACTTGCCTAAGGTGAAATCGCTCATGGGTGGAAGCCTATCGCAGGTCCCCAAATTGGCAGTCTT